GTAAGAATGAGAACGAGGATAAAAAAAAATTTAAAATGAGAATCATGAAAGGAATAAAAATGATGATACTGCTAATAATAGTAACAACAACAATATTAATGATTATGATAATAATAGTAATAAATATAATAACAATAATTTTGATTACAATAATAATAATAATAATGTTAATGATAATAACAACATTAATAATGATAGCAACAATAACAATAATGACACTAATAATTATATCAAAATCATAATAATCATATTAATAGTAATAATGATAAAAATAAACTAATAATAACAATAGCAATAATTATACAATAAGGATGATAATATTAACAATTATCATTATTATTATTATTATTATTATTATTATTATTATTATTATTATTATTATTATTATTATTATTATTATTATTATTGTCATTATTATTATTATTGTTATCATTATTATCATTATTAATATTATCATTGTCATTGTTATTATCATATCATTTCATTATCATTTATCATTTATCATTATCATCATTTTATTATTATCATTATTGTTATTATCATGATCACGGTAATCGAAAAAAAAATATAATGATAATGATTATAATAATCACAATCATCATCATCATTTTAATTATTAATTGTTATTCTTATTATTATCACTATCCTTACTAGTAGTAGTAGTAGTAGTCGTAGAAGTAGCAGTATTGTTACGATTATTATTATCATCATCATTATTATCATTAATTGCATCATTAAAATCATTATCATTGCTGTTGTTATCTTAAGAAAAGAATAAGAATAAGAACAGCCATAATAAAAAAAAAAAACTTTATAACAAAACAATTATGATTATAATAATAATGTTAATGATAAACAATAACAATAATAACAGTGATGATCATATTCGATATAAGGAGGAGGAGGAGGAGGAGGATAATAGCAATGATCATAATTAATATAGTAATAGCAATAACAATAGGAATAACAATCATAATAATGATAAAAGTGATGAATAGTGTGATAAGATGATAATGATATTACTGATGATAATAATAATGAAAATAACAATAAAGTGATAATGATAATGATAATAAATAAAAATGATAATCATAATGATAATTAATATATGATGATGATAATCATAATGATGATAATAATAGTAGTAGTAATAGTGATGATAATCGGAGCAATAATAGTAATTATTACAATTAAAATTATATTAATAGTAATGGTAATAACTTTGATGATAATAAAAAGGATGGTGATTATTACCATTATCTTTATTATCAAACCAACAACAAAAGTAATAATGAAAATAAAAATAATGATGTTAATAATGACAACAATAATAATAACAATAGTGATAATAACAAAATGATAACAATAATGAGGATAGTAAAAGTAGTAACAATAACAAAAGCAAAATGATAAGTGAAAACAATAATTTAACTAATAATGATAATAACAATGGAGATAATGATAATAGTAATAACCAGTATAATGATAAGAAAAACAATAATGATAATAATATTAAAAAGATTAAGAATGATGAAAATTATAATGATAATAGTAGTGATGATAATAATAATTATCATCAATGATAATGATTATAATAATTATAGTAATAATAGTAGTAATAATAACAATACTGAAAATGATAGTAATAGTAATATTAACGATTAAGGTGAATAATAATGATGATAGCAATAACGATAATAATAATGATAATCTTAATAACAGCAATAACAATGATTATGATAAAAATAATAATAATAACAATAACAATAATAATAATAATAATAATAATAATAATAATAATAATAATAATAATAATGATAATAATAACAATAGTAATAAATAATAATAATAATAATAATAATAATAATAATAATAATAATAATAATAATAATAATAATAATAATAATAATAATAATAATAATAATATAATATATATAAATAATAATAATAATAATAATGATAATGATCATAAAAAAGATAATAGTATTGATAATAATAATTATAGTAATAGCAACAATAATGATAATAAAAAAGATAATAGTCTTGATAATAATAATTATAGTAAGAGCAACAATAATAATAATAATGATCATAACGATGATAGTAATTATAAAAAGGATAATAATAAGAAGAAGAATACAAATTATTATTTCTTCTTATTATTATCATTATCATTATTAACCTTATAATAATCACAACAATAACAATGAAGATAATAATAATAATGATAACAATAACAAAAATAGTGATAATAATGATAATGATGATAGCCATGATAATCATAATCATAATAAAATTATAGTAATAAAAATAATGAAAATTATGATGATAATAATCATAACAATAATAATGAAAAATGTCATGATAATAATAAAGATAACAACAATGATAAGAGTAATATAAAAAAAATATTGATAACAATAATAATAGTGTAATAATAATGATGTTGATGATAGTATGAATAAAGATAACAATAATAATGGTATGATAATAATAATAATAATGATGATAATAATGATAATAATAATAATAATAATATAATAAATAATAATAATAATGATAATAATAATACTAATGATAGTAATAATAATAATAGTAATGATAATAATGATAATAATAAAAACATTATTAGTAATAATAATAATGATACTAGTAATGATAATGGTAATGATAAAAATATTAGTGATAATGATAAGGATAATAAAAAAGATCATAATAACAATCCTAACAATACTAATAATGACAATTATAACAAAGATATTTATATATACATTAATATCAGTAATGACAAAACAAAAGATTACTTCATTACTTTCATTTTCATTATTATCATTATCATTATCATAATTATCATCATTTTATTGCTATTATTACAATCATCCTTATTATTACAATTATCATTATTACCATCATCATTCTTATCATTACTAGTAATCATGGCGATTATGATAATAATTGAAATAATGATGATAATGACAAAAATGATAATGATAGTTATGATGAACCTAATAATGACATTGATAATTATAACAACAATGATAAAATCAGTAATGGTAAAGATTGTAATAATACATTAAATCAAAGTAGGGGACTAATGATGATGAAAATGATACTGTTGTTAATATTAGAAAAATAATCCAAATGTAAATAATTGTAGTAATAGTAATAATAGTATAAATGTTGACAAAAATGTATTCATAACAACTATAATAATAATGATAATGATAATAAAATTTACAATAATATACATGATATTAGTGCTACCACTAATGATAATAATGATAATGGTGATAATGATAATAATGACGATATTAAGGATGATGATGCTAATAATGATGATAATAATGATAAGAATATAAAGAGTAAAATTAATGATATAAAATAATGATGATAATAGAAATAGAAATAACTATTGTTATTATTACTATGACTATCATAATGATGATGGTAATATTTACAACAATAATGATAATAATGAAAATAATAACAACAATAATGATAATGATAATAGTGCTAATGCTAATCATATGAACCATGCGATAATGATTATAATGGTAATGATACTGATAATGATAATATTAACCATATTAAGGATGATAATGATAATAACAATAATAGTAGGAATGATGATAACAGTAATGAAAACAATAATAACCATAACAGTAATAATGATGATAATGATTGTAACAATAATTACAATAATGATGATAAAAATATAATAGTGATGGCAATATTGATAACAAAAATAATGGCAATAATGATAATGATAATAAAGATGATGATAATGAAAATAATGATGATAAGACAAACATAGAGAAAAAATCAATGACTCCAACAGTAGCGATAACAATGATAAAAATAGTCAAGATAACAATGATAGTAATAATGGCAATTGGAATTACAATAATAATAACTGCAATAATGCTAATCATTATTATTATAACAGTGAGGATGTTGAGGATAATAATACATATAAAATTAATGAGAGTGATTTTATTGATATGGTAAGGATAATATTAATAAAGTAATGATAATATTAATAAGGTAATGATATTATTTATAATGATAATAATGATGGAAAATTGATAATCATTATCATAATAATAGTGCAAATATCAATGATAGTTATAATAATAACAAAAATAAAATCAACAATGATAATAATAGTAGTACTTCTAATAATGATAATAGTAATAATATTAATACANAAAATATGATGCTGATACCAATTAATAGCAATAATATATACTTCACATAAATACATCCAGTTATAGCAATGAATACAGTAACTTTCCACCAATATATCGTATAGCAAATATAATTACTTTCAAATTAATAACAGTTATAGCAAAATAATAAAACTTCAAATAATTACCAGTAAGCAATTGATAATAATTTCCACAATGATAAACCATTGTAACAAATAATAAACTGTCATCAATAATAACAGTTATGAGGCAATGGATATATACTTCAAGCATGATATACAAATTATAGAAATGATAATACTTTCACAATGAATACCAGTTATAGCAATGATAAGTAAGATACTTTCACAAATGAATACCATAGCAATGAATAACTTTCACAATGATATACCAGTTATAGCAATAATAACTTTCACAATGAATACCAGTTATAGCAATAATAACTTTCACAATGATACAAACATATAGCAATGAAACAACTTTCACAATGATATACCAGTTATAGCAATGAAATCAACTTCACAATGATATACCAGTTATAGCAATGATAATAACTTTCACAATAATATACCAGTTATAGCAATGATAATAACTTTCACAATAATATACCAGTTATAGCAATGATAATAACTTTCACAATAATATACCAGTTATAAGCAATGTAATAACTTTCACAACAATGAGATACCATGAACTTGAACAATTAGCAATAACCTCAACAACAAACAAGCACCAATCCAATAAAAAAAACGCCTCTAATATACACCATCCTCTCCCCCCCCCCCCCCCCAGATGGTGAAGTGCGACCCCGCCACGGCAAGTACATGGCCTGCTGCCTCCTGTACCGCGGCGACGTCGTGCCCAAGGACGTGAACTGCGCCATCGCCACCATCAAGACGAAGCGCACCATCCAGTTCGGGACTGGTGCCCCACGGGGTTCAAGGTACTTTGGGGGGAGGGGGAAGGGGGAGGGGGAAGGGGTGGAGGGGGGAGGGGAAGGGGGTAGGGAGGGGAAGGGTTGGAGGGGGAGGGGGGAAGGAGAGGGGGAAGGGGGGGGGGGGGAGGGGTGAAGGGGGAGGGGGAAGGGGTAGAGGGTGGGGGGGGTAGGGGAAGGGGATGGGGAAGGGGGAGGGTTTAGGGGGAGGGGAAGGGGGAGGGGAGGGAGGGAAAGGGGTGGGAAAGAGGGTGGGTGGAGGGGTGGGGTAGGTGTTGTGTGGTTGTGGTGTCAGTGTTGTGTGTGTGTGTGTGTGTATGTATATAGAATTCTGTCAATTCATTTATCTATATGTCTATCTATCTATCTAACAATCTGTCTATCAATATGTATACAGATATACAGATATAGATAGATAGATATTTAGTATCACACATGTGCGTTTGTATCTATGTGTATGTACTAAATTTTCATGCTACTACGTCGTGAGTTTTAGTAAGAATAGATGTGTTTAACAGACAGATGGTAACACGTAAATACCGCACATACATACTGTATTTACGGATACATACACGCATGATTTCCCAATATTCCTCTCCGAGCAATGGCCATTGATAAGTCCACTTCCAAACACTTAGTCGATTGCTATTAATCAATCAACCCCGCTTCCCTTTCATAAGATTAATAACGAGTCTATTTGAACACTTGAAACGCGTGCAGTTTAAGCCGCAAAATTAATTAGCGATATTAAATCCTACCCAAATTACCTATGGCTGAGCTACTTGGAACTTTCCTTTTGAACAAAAATGAATTAAAACCAACTTCTTTGTGTGTTGTGGGTGGGCATCACTTACCCAATATTACCGTGTGCAGCTGGATGCAAAAAATCAGTTACAGCGTATGTTTTGACGTTTCCGCCTTCCTCTGCATAGAATATATGAAACATAGATCCTTCATAGTTTGTTCTTCTCCTCCCCCACTCTTCCTAAATCTCCCTTCGCGTCGTCACCCCCATCGGCATCTGGACCCCGCTCGCCCAGCTGGTGCCCACCCCGCCACATGTGCCAGGGGGAACGCCTCGGGCTCAGCGGCGGGTATTTGTACTCTGGCATTGTGATCTCTGCCATGAATACCCACTATCCATGGCCGTCGGTGCAGTAGGAATGCCCTTTGGAGCAGGAAAACCAACAGATTATTCACATTCAACCTTTTTTTAAACATCCTTTAACCTAAACTAACAATTATTTCCTCCTGTTTTTTCACCTGCAGGTCGTATCAAATCTTTACCATGGTACCTGGAAACAACACCCTTTTAGACCAACCAATTATCCCATCAACCTTGTTTAATCCTCAATGTAAACTAAACTAACACTTATTCTTTAAAAACATCCTCTAAACTAACACTTCTTTCCTCCTGTTCTTTCCCCCACTGCAGGTCGGTATCAACTACCAGCCTCCTACCATGGTACCTGGAACCAATACCCCTTTAGACCAACCAATTATCCCCATTCAACCTTGTTTAAACATCTTTCAATATAAACTAAACAACACATTTTCTTAAAAAACATCTTTTGATCTAAACTAACCACTTCCTCCTTTCTTTCCCCACTGCAGGTCGGTAATTCAACTACCAGC